ATTTATTCCACTAGGCCCCACCTGCTAAAGGTTGCGGCACACCCAATAGCTGAGGTCCGAAGTTTGGACACATGGGCCTTTTGGGGACCATTCAAGACCCAAACTACAGTATGGTGGAAACAATACAATAACCGGTGCTGGAATGGAGTTCTTGAGCTGCGTGAGTCTGCCGGTTTCCTAAGGTTTAAAGCTCATGATAGGAAAGCACATTTTCACTGTAGACATGATAACATGAGAACAAGGAAAAGTTCCTGGGAACATCTCAACCTTGTGGACACAGGAAACCTGTAGAAACGATGGAGACATTCCCCACCAAAGCAGTCATTCATTGCTTGCGATCATGCTCAATCAGGCCGGATCCTGTGGACTCTCACTGCCAACATTTAGACCAGTGATGTCTAAACACACACAAGGTAAGTGTGCCAAGGTATGTGTGAGATGTGCACACATACACACCATTGAGAAGGCACAGAGCAGCATGTCTGAGGTCTTGATCGGCTACAGCCATCTCAGTCACGAGGTCCAGCATGCTAACATGAGGGTACTCTAGTGGTCTACACTGAGTGCTTCCAGGTTCTTGTTGTCTTGTTAAAAAAAGCTGAAGAAGCACACACAAATAGTGACCTAGCAAAGGTCTTATTCAAGAGCACGGTAAATACACAGAATAGACACACTGCTAGGAGAGAGCAGCCGGCGCCAAGCACGATTGCCCTAGGTTACTTTGCAAAGCTTCATTTTATGAGCCCACGCGGAGGGAGGAATTAGTTGCCAAGGATGAGGCTTAGGTGATTTGGTGTTTCCACTGATGGGCTTGGGTTATATAACTCTTTGTTCTCTCAACATGTTCTTTCTCATGATGCATCTAATTTTTGAATCATATGTGTGTCCAATCACGCATAGGCACAGAATGGTAAGTAGGAGATTTTCCCTGAAAGCTCACTCGGTGGATACAGGTTGCCTTGTGCATGTGCACTGAATACCAGCCTGGTTTGAATTGGGTCACTGCCTGCAGTTCTAGGACAGGTTCCATGTTTGACCACAAAGGGGGGTGGGATCCCCAAAGGTTGTTAGGGAGTTGCTAGGGGTTACTAGGATTGACTGCCCTCTTCGTTTGGAGAAGGTTGTACACATAGCTCCATGCAAACGGGGCCCCAGGTTGCTAAATTGCCTGTGAAAACTACCTGAGTGCCTTAGGAGTATTCAGCATTTGGGAACCACCAAGATGGTCTCTCCCTTTCCAAACATGCTGGCTGCATGGAACTATGTTCCTTGCAAGTATGTTATTAAGACAGGTCTGTAAGACAGGTTGCTCTCTTCTGTAAAATGATGCCGGTTCCTTTTTGGCTCTCTAGCTAAAGGACCAATCTTGGATACATGTATCTGTGATTACTCTACGCCTGAGGGCATGGGTGGGGTAGGTAGTAAAGCCAAAATATTTTGCATCCACAGAGAGGAATATTTACTTCTTGAAGAACTTGAAGTGAACCCTGTTTTTAAAACATGAAGTTTGGATGGAACTCAATAACCTATTTCTTTCTTAATTTGACATTGTCTAAGGTTTAGAGATCTGGTTTTTCTGGAAAAGAATTTATCATTTAATTGCAGTCATACTTTAATTGGTGGTTAGCCTCCTAAGTGGAACAAGATTGTTAATGGCCGCAGTCTATTCATTATCCTAAGAGTGTCTAGCTGGAAGCCATTAAAAGAGGGTGGAGTATGTTGTGCTCCTAATTTAATTTCGTTCTGCCTGAATTTTACACATGTTCAGAATTTGGATAAACTCAAAAAACTCTTATTGTGTAATATTCCACTAAATGCATGCATCATGGGAATTGTAATCACTGAGCTCTTCATTCATTAGCTTTGCTCATTAAAAGGCTATTTTGCAACCACATCTTTGTTCCAGAAAAACCATGACCTTAACTGTCTGGAACAGTATAAAGTGTCCTGGTTCAAGAGTCAAGCTTGAGTGTGACCTCGGAATACTTGGTTTAAGATATTACAAACCAACTAAAATTGTAGTGTATTCTGTGTCTAACAACTAAAACGTTGCTTGTACAAACAGCATGCTAAGTTGTTATTGTTGTTCTAGACAAGATCTCACTTTGTAGCTCTAAACTGGCTTGGAACTTCCTATATAGACCAGGTTGGTCTGGAACTCTCTATATAGACCAGGGTGGTCTGGAACTCACAGAGATCTGCCTGCCTCTGCTTCTGGGATTAAATGTGTATAGCATTACACCCAGCTATGTGACCAACTATTAAGCAGGTTTTGTTTTGTTTTTTTTTTCTTTTTGGTGTTTTTTTCGAGACAGGGTTTCTCTGTGTAGCTTTTGCACCTTTCCTGGAACTCACTCTGTAGCCCAGGCTGGCCTCAAACTCACAGAGATCTGCCTGCCTCTACCTCCCGAGTGCTGGGATTAAAGTTGTATGCCACTATGGCTCTACTTATTAAGCAGTTCTTAGCCATGACTTTTGCACTCTTGCCAAAACGTCCTGGTAAAATTTTAGTGATATAAAAATTACGTTAATTTCTGTTCTTGTTGTAGCCTGAAGATCTCAAAGTCAGCCATTAATATCCTGAAAAAAATATCTAATTTGTGTCATCTAGAGAAATGTTGTTCGTGGTCAGAATTATGCAGATAAAAAGCTTTGTTTTTCTGTAGAAGATCTCATTAGAAATGGAATAGGGGAAGAAATTTTCTTTTTGAATTGTAATCAGCCATGGGCATGTCTAATTTATTGACTCCATAAGTTACCTATGTTTTAGAACAAAGTCATGAGCTCATGGGTTTTTGTAAACTCAGAGTTTCTCATTAACCATTATTATTTCTATGCTCAAGTTATCACATTCTGACCAAGTGGGAGCTGGTTTCTCTTTCATCTTGTCAGCAAAGCCCTTCCAAAACCAGACTCCAGATTTCTCTCTAGAACATCAGAGGCATGGTCTATTTATCTATTTCCCCCTACCCCAAAGTATGGGATCAACTTCCCTCCTGATATTCTTTTTTTTTTTTTTGGTTTTTCGAGACAGGGTTTCTCTGTGTAGCTTTGCACCTTTCCTGGAACTCACTTTGGAGACCAGGCTGGCCTCGAACTCACAGAGATCCACCTGCCTCTGCCTCCCGAGTGCTGGGATTAAAAGCATGTGCCACCACCACCCGGCCTGATTTTTTTTTTTTACTTTAAAACAAATTCAAGATTAAAATCTGGTGCTTAGAGTGAATCTGGGAAGCGATATTGGGTAATCGTGCGGCTTCAGTTCCTATCACTGGCTCATTCTGTTGGGATAGAGCTGAAAGTATACACAGCCATGCACTGCTCAATGAGAGCAGTCACTGATGGACAGCATGGATGAAGACACATAACCCACAGCTTAGGTTTGTAATAGGCTGAAGCACATAGGTATATACACACTACAATGTTTGGGCAGCAAAGAAGATGGTCGATGACACATCTCTGAGAGTGTACACTGCTAAGAAGAGACTCACAAAAGTCACAGAATCACACTGATTTCGCCTATTTAATAGATCATACATTGTGTGTGATATTTTACCTTTCTAATGTAATTCTCATCTAATATTGTCTTTCTCCTAAACTGCCATCTCACATAAAGTTACTCGAACTACTGCTCTTCATTTCAAATGCTGTCTGTGCCTTTCTTTTCTGGTCCACTATTTGCTGACTTGCTCAAGATCCATCTCTGCTGTATCATAGCAACATCCTCCTCACCAATCTCCCAGCCCCAGCCTTTTGGAACCTTTTACATCACCAGGCTGCTTTCCTTTTTTGTAGTGGAGGAGGATTTGTGCCTATCAAATTCAGAGCCTGCATATGTCAGCAAATGTTCTATCACTGAGCTACCTCCCCAAGTCCATATTTTCATATTCTCTTCACACTCCCCCTTTTTTTCCTCTCCCTCCCTCCCTCCTTGGATCAGGTCTCATTGTGTAGCCAAGGTTAGCCTCTATGTAGCCTAGAGTAGCCTCAGCCTTAATTTGCTATCCTCCTATTCTGTGTCCTGAGTGTATCACACCGGCTTCCTTTTAAAGTGTTTTTGAGTGGCTCTGCTTAGGAGATTGCACTGGAGTTCAGCCCAGCCTTACTGTACCAACCCACATTCCCATCGAACCCGTTAGTGTTTGCACCCCCCTAAGAACTGGAACAGAGCCGGTCCAGTCCTTTCCTCCTAGCCCCATGGAGACGTCTTCAGATACTATGAGGTGTGTTTAGGCCACTCTTACTACTCCTCCCCTACCCCACGCCTCAGGCGGGCCTCAAACTCACCCTGTAGTCAAGGATGACCTTGAACTCCTGATCTCCTGGCTCAACTACAAAGTTCTGGGATCACAGGCATGCACCACCACACTCAGGCATTGTTTTGAGATCCGAGAGTGAGCGTGCCTGTCCACCTCAAGTCCTGCCTTTGGGGAATCTGTATGTACAGCACCCCTTAGCCAAAGGAGGCGGAGACCTAGGTTTCGGGTGAGACGGTGGAGTCTCTACCTGCCTGTCTTTTTTGTCTGTGAGATCCTGAAACGTGCCATTGCTGAAACCCCAGTGGATAGGTTGTTCGGACTTGCTGGGATTCGGGGATTTTCCCACAAAAGTGCCTGGTGTTTACGTGGACCTTTCCGACTTGGGAAATAAGCTCTTTGGTTACGGTCTCAGTCAAACCTGGGCCCTTCTGACAAGCACATCACCTAAAAGATTCAGTAAGTGTAGACTGAATGAATGCGTGAACTCGAAAAACAGAAGAGTGTCTTCGTTGCTGGCCTTGCTCTCCCAGGGTTCAGATTTAAAACCCATCCGGCACCTTCACACAGGGAAGGAAGGACGCTGTTCGCAGCAAAAGGCCAGAAGACTGGCAGCCTCAACCCCGCCCCGGCCCCGCCCCGGCCCCGCCCCGGCCCCGCCCCGGCCCCGCCCCGGCCCCGCCCCGGCCCCGCCCCACGCCGCTCGCTCCGCCTCCGACGCGCCATATTTACATCACAGCCTAACCTTCCACCTTCCCTCGCCACACTTCCTCTTTCCCCGCCTCCCGGCGACCCGGAAGTTGTACTTGCGACGCGGCTTTCCTTCCCACCATCCCTCGCGCCCGTCCTTTCCAGCTTGGGCCCGGCAGAGTAAGTATGGCCGCGGGGTCCTGGCTCTGAAAATCCAGCTCCATCCTCTCCGGGCGCGGGGCAGGCCGGCTAGGTGGGGTTTGTTCCGCGCCGACCCGAGGCTCGACGATCCGGGGCGGTAGGGCCTGCGCTGACGACAGGCTCTGGGGCCGATGGAGGACAGTGGCGGGGCTCAGAGCAGCCGAGCCGCAGGGGTTCCGGGGTCGGGCGTCTGAGGGCTGGGGAGTGCGTGGTGGACTGGCAGGGTCGGCTTTGGGCAACCCTGGGCGGATTCTGAGAGGGGGGGGGCATCGGCTCGGGGTTTTGCCCCGCCTGCTTAGAGCCTCCTGTCGCCTGCGTTTTAGATGGCTCCCGCAAAGAAGGGTGGCGAGAAGAAGAAGGGCCGTTCTGCCATCAACGAGGTGGTGACCCGAGAATACACCATCAACATTCACAAGCGCATCCATGGAGTGTGAGTACCTGGCGGTCGGCGTGGCCCGCGAGCCCCTTCCGGCTTCTGGCTTCTGGCTGTCACTCGAGCATTGCCTAATTGCTGCTTACAGACTTGTGCTTTAGAAAGCACGCGGGTTTGGTTTGGTTTGGTTTGGTTTGGTTTGTTTGTTTGCTTTTTTTCAGTCTGCGTGTACTTTGAAGGCGTGCAGGGTTTGGAGTGTACGGTACTTGTTAGAAACTAGGACCAGGAGGAGGTTGTGTTTGAACTTTAGAGATCAGTGGACTCTGGAAAGCTTGGTGATGGTAAAGCGAGTGTTTTTGTAATCTGGACCACTAAAAGTAAAAGCTTGTGAAGGGAAACCTTTAATAATTTCTGTGCAGCAGGAAGTTAGCCAGTTGCGAATTGCTGAGCCCCAAATGTGAAATCGGATTATGTTCGTCCTCTGACCCATACAGATTCATACTAATACGGGTCGAGTTGTAATCCTGGAAATGCTGAGAGGCAGGTAGGTTACACCAAAGTTACAGTGCAGTGTACGGTAAAGACCCATGGCGATTTGTGAATTTATAAAGAGGCAGTTACAGGGAATGATTATGGGTGCGTACTCCCTTTGTACACGATTTATCTACATATATTCAGATATCCAGCATTTAGAGCAAGATTTCTTGGATTTGGCTGTTCAGACTCTTGTGACAGATTTTGCTGGGTCGAAATGTGTGTGGACATTTTCTGTGGGGTCCCTGCTGTGTGTGAATGCTGCTCGTGATCAGTCACATTCCATGGTACACATTCCCTGAGCTGTGCATGTATGTGAGAAAGTAAAGACCCTGCCCTCCCAAGTTTACCAAAGCGGGAGAGGCGAAAAACGTTTTGAGTTGATGGGGTTTTTTTGTTTAAGTGCCCAGTGTGTTGGGTCCTTCTTTCGTGAAAGGTGCTCGTGGGTGGGCATGGTTTTCAGACATTTTGTACTTCGTTGTAAAAGCCCTGTGTGAGGCTCTCCAGCCTCCCTCCGTTGGTAATGTCTGGGTTTCCATTGTTTTCCAAACCAAACTTGCTCCCTGCTGGCTCTGCCCTCTTGAGAGCCAGTCTGATTGCATTTAAGTGAAGGCAGCAGCATCTTGTTTCCATTGGAACTGCTCAGTGCTCCATCTCTTTCCTGGTGCATCCTGCTTGGTACTTGTAATTGATACCACCTGATGGGTAGCTTGCACGAGCTAGGTCCATTAGACCAGCTGCTGTTATTTCTAACCCTGTTTTTCCAGGTAGGTTGTCAGGTGGGCTTGTTTGGGCGCAGGCTGGTGATGGGTAGAGTGGAGAAAGCAATTCAGTGTGTCTCGCCTGGAGTGGGCCTGACAGGTGCTGGACACAACTGGACTTTTGTGGGTGGGTTTTGGATTTGAGGTCTTCCTGCCCAACTTCCAGTGTTGTGGTTATCGGTGTGCACCATCACCATGCCCTAGAAAGTTTGGTGGGTTTTTTTTGTTGTCTTAAATACAGGCTCCCTGTTAGGTGTAGTTGTGGTTGTCCTAGAACTAGCTATGTAGACCAGACCAGACCAGGCTGGCTTTGATTCAAACAAATCCACCTGCCTTTGCCTCCCAGATGCTAGGATTAAAGGAGCACAACACCACATCCAGCTCATTTTGGGTTTTTTTATTCATTTGATTGAAAGCATAAAATCTAGGTAAATGGCCCTCATGGTTCCACAGAATACTGCCTTTCTCTGTACATGTTTGCCTGTGTGTATGTTCACCATATGGATGCTGGGAGCCAAACCTGGGTCCTTGGCAAAAGCAAGTTTTCTTAACCACTGAGTCCCCAGCATTTTAGGACTGCTGTGAGAGTAGACCACGTTTGTGAATGATAAGCTGGGAAAGCATGGCACTTTGTGCTTGGATTGTGAGATATCTGGTGTTTATTTCAACATCTTGTTCCAAGTGCCGGTGCTAGGACCTGGACATTTCATGCTTGTAGGGGTGTGTTTCTGACTACTTCGATTGTTTTATGAGGGAATGCATTTATATATTATGTGTAATCTATGATTTTTATATCCTTGTGTTTTGAACCTCAGGGGCTTCAAGAAGCGTGCCCCTAGGGCACTCAAAGAAATCCGGAAATTTGCCATGAAGGAGATGGGTACTCCAGATGTGCGCATTGATACTAGGCTCAATAAAGCCGTCTGGGCCAAAGGAATAAGGTACTGAAGTTATATTTGTTACAATGATGCCAGTTATTCCTTCTATATATATAGTCTATGTGACAAATTTGGAAGTTTGGTTACCAGATGTGGAGTATAAAGATAAAGGACAATGGCTCTAAGCTAGTGTCATTTGTTGTAAGTAAGGGAGAGAACCGTGTTAGAGCTTGATGAGATCTGGGAGAGATTGGGACCTGGACGAGCGCCATTGGGAGCATGAGAAGCTCAGAGAAAGTGGTGTTTCTGAACCTGAGGTGCTGGCCAGTCCTGAGGAAAGAATCCTCCTGCTGCCTGCCCAGGGGTTGATTTGTGTCATGTCCTATAACATGAGAGGGTTCTCACAGAGTTTTTTCCAACCTGGATGTAAATAATGCTGAAGTTGGTAAGTCCCCTTTAAAGGGGAGTAAGTAGGAAGATGGAAGGGGGTGCTGCTTGCTGCTGGCAGTATTTAATCTTGCAACCTCTAAAGTAGGACTATATTAGATTATCCAACAAGGAGCGAAAGAGCCTTGTTTGTAGGAATCTGGGGCCTAAGAACACCTAGCACATCCTGAGATGGTGAGGGAAGGAGATAACTCAGCTGCACTGCTTCTGCAAAGGGAAGGGTTGTGGGTGCCTTTTATTTGAATTAGTGGATATTTCTGTCGACAGCCATTTTCTGCCTAAAAACAATTGGTTTTCATTGGTGGCTGCCTTAATATATCCTAACAAGCGTGAACCTTGAGATGGCAGCTTGTTGCTCATTCACCTGGGTATATTTCAAGGTCAGATAAAAGTGTTTATCAGAGCATTAGAAGCAGGAATGGATGTGTGAGTGCTGCTAGTAGCTGGCTCCTGACAAGAAGCATTGACCTTAGCGACACATTTCTATTTTATTAGGAATGTTCCATACCGTATCCGTGTACGTTTGTCCAGAAAACGTAATGAGGATGAGGACTCACCAAACAAGCTTTACACATTGGTAACTTACGTACCTGTTACCACATTCAAAAGTAAGTTCCATGCTCTTCCACAATTTCACCAAATTATAGCAGAAAATTATTAGCATCTTTAACCCAAAATTTGTTCATCAAATGTTGGGTGCCTTTTTTCGGTGAAGAGATGAGTGGCAGGCAAAATTAGCAGACCTTTATTTAAAACTGTCTGATGTGGGGGAATGCAAAATAGTGACATTCATGACAGTGGAGTGTTGTGCAAGTGCTCGAAAAGATGGGATGTTGACTGGCTGTCACTTCTTCCTTCTAGATCTACAGACAGTCAATGTGGATGAGAACTAAGCTGCAGAGTGTCAAATAAAGTTGGAGAACTACCTTCAGGTTTTGGTTTTCCTTTTTGTTGTCTGTCACACCGGTGGAGTTTTTGGTATTGTTGGGAATTATTTAGAACCACTGCGCTGGGGACGTGGGAAACTGGAAGTATGTGTGTGACATGTTCTTTTCACAGAAATCCATGTATTAGAGTTCTGGGTTTTGGTTTTTCAAGACACAGTTTTCTCTGTGTAGTTCTGGCTGTCCTGGAACTTGCTCTGTAGAACAGGCTGGAATTAAAGGCAGGCACCACCATGCCTGGCTTGTGTGTGGCTTTTAGCAAAGAAGCTACAGTATTAGGTCTCACTTTAGTCCCAGCTGTGTATGTGAGCCTAAAATTAAGGATTGGGGTTATAACTGTTACATGATACTGAAAATCTGTTGTGTGGGTCCTAGGAATTAAACTTAGCCAGAAGACCAAAGCTGACACTCTGTCTTTACCAAAAGCTGACACTCTATCTTTACCAACCACTACATTGCATTCCCTGGAATATGCTAGACCCTTAAGACAGCGTTTCTCTGTAACATCCCTGGCTGTCCTGAAATTCAATCTATAGACCAGGCTGGCCTCGAACTCACAAAAGGTCTGTCTGCTTCCTTAGTGCTATTGTTTTGGTGTTTTGTTTTTTTTTTTTTAATTTAAAAAAGTCAGTACAAAAAAAAGATTTTTATTAAAAACGGGGTGAGGGGGCAACATTGAAAGCATGGTTTGTTTTTGGAAGGACATACAAAGTGAATACAACGAAATATATTAAAATGGTTTCAATTACCAGCATTGAAACAAAATTAGTGCAAAAAAAGCCAAATACAGTTGTGCAGACAGTGGTTCTGGGATCTTGGAGGTGAGCCTGTTTCTTGACCTCTCCCATTACCAGTGGTACATGAGCCTGGGGTTGATGTCTCTTGGTTACTGTAACATCTTTTTGTCCATCAAAGGATAAGCTCATAGCAGAAACACTGGTTTGAGCAAAGTTGATAGTCACAGTGTAAAGGGCATTCCACCTCTGACAACCTCCTAATAAATAGAACTGTGTGAGTTGCAGCAATTCCCCGGCCGTGGCTCTGAGGTTGGTTATCCACATACTCAACTCAGACTGAAATCTGGACAGTGACTGACAACAGTCCAGTTCGTGCTTTGGTGTGGCGGGTTCCAGTGTGTTCCCCGACAATTCCTGGCTACAGGTTATTCAGCTTCAGTTCAGGCTGTGGTGGGTGGCTCATTTCCAAAGCTTTGAGACTGTACTGATTGAGCTTGGCATTTTCAAGTTTGGACTTAATGTTGAGTGGCTTTTCAAAAAAGTTTACCAGTGACTGCTCAGTGAGAAGGGAGGCCAGGATATGTTCCAGGGAGACAGTCCAGTCCCCTTCCCCTGCCTCAGGAAAGGCCCGAGGGTCCTGGGGAGTCTTCCCAGTCTCAGCAAAAACCGAGTCCTGTTCAGGAGAAGGAGCTGAGGCCTGCAGCTCCTCACCACATTCCTGGGAGCAGCTTCCTGAGCTGCTGCTTCGCTGGCCCACTTCTCCTATCTGTAGTAGCAGAGTGGTTACTGTGGCAATGGCTTGGTACAGCTCGTTTTCCTCTGGATCTTCATGGAACATACTGTACAGAGTTTTACAGAACTGGATAAATTCTCTCTAGAATTATAAAAAAAAAAAACTATCAGAAAAGCATGTACCATTTAATTTTTGTTCGATAGGAGCTCACTGTTTTAAGACTGTCCACAGCTTGTAGTCCTCCTGCCTCACTGACAAACACTGGGTTACAGGTGTCTACTGTTAGTTCCTTGTTCCATGTGCAGAAAATATAAAAAGGCTTATGAGTTAGTGAGAAATGCCAGCTCGGGATGCACACATTCTCCAAAGAAAATCCAGAGCTACACTTGCTTTTTAATGGGAAAATGGCATGTGGCACATATCTTTAAACCCAGTGTTTAGGGGACAGGCATCCTAGGGCTACAAAAAAATTACCTTACATTCAGTGATCTAGAGGAAACTTCCACAATTACTTTATGACAGCTAAAGTAAGGTATCTACTGTAACTTGATGTCTAGTTTATACCTGGGTGAAAACAGTGACCGATGTTCCAAGTTAAGCAGACAGCTCTGGGTATTTTAGACCACTCAGTAGTATAAGGTTTTTCAGGGACTCATTTGGTCTGCTATTTTGGAGGGGTAGTAGAATAAGTAAATATTTCAGGACTATCAAGTGTTGTTATTTGGTGGTGGTAGATATTTTCTTAAAATAGTACAGACAGCTCTGGGTGATTTAGCTATCACATTTGTGAGGAACAGAAAGTTACCCGTATAAAGCTGGGGAGGATCAGGGACTGCCTACCTAGCTTAAGGTTCAATGAGAGACTTGAAGGAAGTAAGGTAGAAGACACCCATTGAGCTTTTATGCACAACCTACTCATGCTCTAGAGCCTCCCGGTACATGGCACGAAAAAACATTCACATCTTACACAGGAGCATTCAAAACCTTAAGCCTATTATTTCTCACATACTGGCAAGAAGACCCTTTTCAAATTAAACCTGCCATCATACCACTTGTATAACAATTCTTTTCTGGGAAATGGTCAGAGGTATGGGAGACTTGAGTATTTATCATTCTGCAGCCTCCTGTTTGAAAGAGGTGACTTGATCACAACACTGGTCTGGGAAGTCATAAGATCCATGGGCCCAAGCTGCCAAAATGGTTTGTTTTCTTCCCAAACGAAGTCCTTACCTGGCTCATTTTGGGCAACTCTTTCTCCGTTTTATCCTTTTCTTTGGCTAAATCTTTAATCATCTGTTTCAGTTGTTTCTGATAATCAATTGTGTCACCTTGAAAAGGGGAAACAACAGTTTAAATTCTATGAAAGCTATGAAATTGGGATAGTAAGGGAACAGGGTCCCACTAAGCAAATTTCATATACAGCCAAAAAGCACGATTACATTTTCACAACTGACTCCATAGCCCTGTCCTTAGGACCTTCCTGTAAAGAATCCTAGAAAGATCGAAGCAGCAGAAGGGACTCAGTGAACAGGCAGTCAAGCAACATGGGCTGAATGGTAACGGGGGAGGGGACAGGCTGCTAGGAGCAGATGAGAACAGATACTTGCCATTGGGCTTACCCAATACCAGTGGTCTTGATGTTGACAGCAGAGGATTCTTCAATGGTGACTGACTGTCTCTGTCATTTTCAGTGAGTGCTTAAAAGAAAATATTAAAATTGGAAACATTCTCTGCTTAACTGAAAAAGCTAGACCCAAAGGCTAAGCCATCAGTTCCTAATATTGCTGTAAAGGTACAGAACCTGTAAAGCCAAATGAAGAATAAGCAAAATCTGTTCTGTGTATGTAGACATGACTGACTAGCATACAAATTCATATGAAACACTGCTGAGGTTGACCTGGAAAAACAGCAAACCCCAGTAGCATTGTCATTGTCTTGACAACGAGTGAGTACATAATTAGCATATTTAGATAGTGTAAGTGGGGGTTTGGGGGGGAGAGGGGTGTTGAGACAGGGTCTTTACATACATAGCCCTGGCTCCTATACAATGTAGGTTTTTAAGTAGCATTGGCTTCCAAAGAGCATCATACTGGTGTTTTTTGGCTTTTCAAGACAGGGTTTCTCTGTAGCTCTGGCTGTCCTGTACACTCCATTGTAGACCAGCTGGCCTCAAACTCTGAGATCCACCTGCCTCTGCCTCCTGAGTGTGCCACTCTGCCTGGCCCAGACTGGTTTTTGTGACGTATACTAAAAATAAAACAGAAGTCTCAGAAGGTGCTGGTAAAAGCAAAATGGTTCAGCCAGTTTAGAAAACATTTTGATGTTTCTTAAACTTAGCTAAATGGTGGTTCAGGCCTTTAACCCCAGCAGAGGAAGGCAGATCTACACAGTGAGCTCCAGATGCTGCCTGAGAACAGAAGTTTTCAGATAGTCAGCAGTTAAGAGCACAGGTTGCTCTGCCAGAGGACCCAGGTTTGATTCCCAGCATACATTGTGGCAGTCAACTGTTTTGTAACTCCAGTTCCAGGGGATCTGGCCTCTGGGCAGCAGCAAAAATAAGGTTAAACCCAGAAACCCCACTTCTGTACATCTACTGGGGAGGATGGAAACTTAGCGTAAAACTGATAGCAACAACACAACCCTAGCTAGCAGCAGGGGTGGTCCTAGCCACACAGTGAGCGCTCATGTGACCAGGACGGATGCTACAACATGGACCACTGAACAGTTACCAGAAGCTAGGCAGTAATGGCACACAGTGTATCCACTTAACACCTGCATAGGCAACACCACAGGCTGCAGGAACATGGGCTGGTCCAGGGCAAGAGTTTTTTAGGATGATGGACAGGTGATTATAGAGTCACTGCACTCCTTAATAAAAGTTATCTAGGTTGACAAAAGTCTAGAGGTAAAAGACTGGAACTTAGGATAAAATTAAGATGTGATTTAAGAAACTTCCACAAGATGGCCCCAAACAACTATCTGGGATGGCAACTCAACTGGCCTAAAATTGTAGGCAGTGGCCCTGTGAGTCCACTCAATATTTACAGGAAAATTATGGGACCTCACTGGTGCTTGAAGCTATTGGGATAGAAGGGTTTATAGAACAGTGAAGAGCTTGTCCCAAGGAGAATTGCATACACAAGCCACTAAGAAAATCCTTGAAGAACCAGTACATGCAGCTGTAATGACAGAAAAGAGAACTGAGTCAGTGAGCTCGAGCATTCACAGGGAGCATGGCCTCATTTTTATATTTCTGTGTATATGTAGTTGGTGGTTCTACACTGTAAATGGGTGGAGACATTTTACATTAAGGCTTTCACTGTTGGACTTGGTTATTTGAAACTTGCCATTCCAGACTTCATATGCTAACTCACCTCTTGACACCATGAGTAGGAAAATCAAAGGTAGTGATGTAGCAAAGAGTCAAGTCCAGCACAGCTAGGACTGCAGCTCCCCAGTGCCTCACTCATATGCAGACTAGGTGGCCCTGCACCTGCGGCAAGCCCAGAGCC